GATCATGGATTGCAAGGGAGGGCTAATGCGAGGCTCATTCAGCTGCTTGCTGGTTCGCAGGTAGATGGATGGAGGTGGTAGGTGGAAGGACTATGATTTGGTTGCTATTCTTAAGTGCTGACGGGCGAGTGGGTACCAAAATGTTGATGGTAGGTAGGCTTAGGCTGGTACATGATATGATATCAAAATATGGATGGTACTGTGCACCCAAAAATGAGACAAGAGACAACATTGAAGAGACAAGAGTTGAGAGTAGTGAGTCAGGCAGAACTCAACATTGAGAAGATGGAGAGAATCCATTCCAGGTGATCAAAGGGAGATGTAGGTAAATTGATGGATAATCTAATTTAATACCTATGAATAGATATAGATGTAAGTGTATCTATTTAGGTACCTACCTAGGTATTATTTGGAGAATGGTTTAATCAAGTATCTCAGTTTATAAATGTTTATTCTTATTTTTATTTTTATTTTTATTTAAAACTCTTTGATATGGTATAAGAGATCTATTGTTAAAAGTTATCTACTAGGTATGTACCTAATCCCTGGCCGGTACCTTTTTCACCAGTTGTTACTTGGCTATCAGTATCTCTAATAATAGCCACATGTCATTGCTAAACCATGAATCCTAGGCCTATATAATGACATTTTATTGGTGCTGGATGGCTCCCTCCTGAACCCTTTGTTCTAACAAGCTTTTTGAGGGTTTGCTTGATTTTCTGACTTTCTTTGAGCTTGACCCTTAATTCCAATATTCCATATTTCACATCTACTAGTACAGTATCCATCCGTCCATCTACCTATAGTATCTATCCATCTATCCATCTATCCATCTATCCATCTATCCATCTATCCATCTATCCATCTATCCATCTATCCATCTATCCATCCATCCCTCCATCTACCTATCTATCCATCTATCCATCCATCCATCTATTCAACAACATTCAATATCATCACATTATTGCCTCATGATTTCATTTTAAAGTTCTTCCCCTACAGACTCACAACCAACACATCACATCTAAGACAATCATGATGTCAATTTCAAACCCTCAAATGGAGGAAGTTCGTTCTTGGGGATTCTCAACTGTGTTTACTTGGTCAGATCCTCCGTGAGTAACCTTGAAAAGACCCCTCGACACAGCTAGGTGGTAGCTGGGAGGTACAGCTAGCTACACAGCCCCAACGACCCATTACTCCACAAGACTCCATACCCCATAACAAGGCTGAGCGTGAGCTGATCGTATCCTTGCCTCACTCAAGAAATGCTCATTACAAGCCACATTCCCATGATGGTTTAACCACACATCTCATCACAAAAGGTCAACTCACCATTACCTATCCGGAAGAAAAGGATGCTCCAAAGATGACTTATGGTGTTGGTGATAGAATTGATGTTGATGCCGGTAGGGTTCATGAGGTATGGATGGGTCCTGAAGGTTGTACATATGTCATTGGAGAGTGAATGAGTGCCACGTTTGGGCCTCACACATATACATGGTACAAATGTCCTCAAATACTTCAACACGTTATTGATACCTAAGTACCCAGGTAAGATGAGATGGCAAGATGAATCGTGATGCGATGTTTGAGGTGGGCTTATTGAAATCAATCAATGAGCATAGATATCGGACGAGACTCGGTGAGGGATACAAAATCATCAAAGTATATGTACAGCATCACCTGTTTAAATTCAGGTGAGAACCTATGCTTGTATCAACACATGGCCGCGACATATGAAAAGACTGTTGATTCAGCAATAAGAAATGTCCACATTTCACTTTTCTTCTTTTTGCATATTCTTCCTACTTACTTTTTTTTTTGGTTTACTGGAATATGTTGCAATTACCTACCTACTTTCCTTCATTTGCTCTATATTTTATATTTATACAAAATTATCAAACTGATTGATTATTCGATTAATTTTTCGTGCCTTTCGCTTTTTTCTCTTTGGTTCCTGCCTACCCGCCTGAGCCTACCAGCCTACAGACAGACATTCGAACAAATTTACCCTGGATTATGTAGATAGGTAGATAGGTAGATAGGTGTTGTTTTATACCTTCGCAAGTACTGAAGATTGCATAGGTACTTTGTTTTTCATGATAGATCTGAGAGAGAAGCTCCTTCCATTCTTTTTCAATGTTCAGTACCTAGGTAGTCATCCTATATTGCAGTTGCTGTGGTTGGCAAGCGCCTCCTCCTGGGAAATGCGTTCACCACAGAATGATATCCATTCCTTCCTCCAAAAGAGCATCCATCTACTATGACAGGAACAACTGCCAATTAGTACACCATATATCTCAAATCACTTCTTTCATCCATCACTTTTCTTCTTCAAAACATAACTTTTTTTCATCTTCGATACCATTCATTACTGCTACGATCATTACTACGAGTACTATCAACTTCATGGGTTGATTGTAAGAATGTCTTTGGTTAAATTCATAATCCATCAGTTTTCTTTCCTGGACATAAACCTTTCATCTTCTCTTCAACATCATTCAATGATTTGGGATTTTGTCAAACTCACTTGTGGTCTTTGCGTTCTAATATCATTTGTTTACTTTCTAGTACGTTGCGGTGAATACGCCATCTTTCCGTCGAGAAGAGCGGTTCAGAAAGAAAGCGAAGCTCAGGAAGAAAGCGTACCCCGGAAAAGAAGAGGAGCTAAGTCTGCAACGAGAGCAGCAAGAGTTCAGCAAAGAAAAATTAACAAATTGTAAAGGAATGATTTGGTTTTGGATCATTTGGGCTCTTTGCTTGGCAATAGTACTTTACTCTCCGCTAGCACTCTATATCTATCCGCTAGCACTCTATATTTCATTTTTGCTATCCTAGCACTTTCGTTTCTTTGTTATGCTATATTCAATCATTACGATCTATCCCTTCGGTACGGTCAATATACCTTCGCCCAGGAAAGCAACAGAGATGGGAAAAGAAGACTAGCAGGGCATCACGGACCGGAGCATGGAGAAGATACAGAAGGCAAACGAAGAAACACTTTTGCGGACTTTTAAGAATGTTGAAGAGCGGAAGTTGGCAAGGACACTCGGATGATCCGACTCCAACTGAACCCACCCCGAACGAAGCCATCCAAGAATAAGTAGAAGCCGAACCCAGCGCAGTACCTCGTATATTTTGGTTTACCTCTTCCTCTCACGAAATTGGTCAATAAATCGGCTCCAAAGATTATTTCTCGTCCTCTCCCGAACAGCCTTCGCATTCCAAAACCCCAAAAGGGAGATTCCCGCACACCTCATTTGACTCTCGTTAAGAAACCCGCCCGACAAGTAGCGAGAAGTCCTTGAAGCAATTCCCCGAGCTAAAGAGGAATTTATTTGTGGATCAGCGTTTGCTTTATTTTCACATGGGAAGATATGAAGTGTTTGGGGGAGGGGGGGTGCTAGGAAACGGATGCATGATGAACAGCCAGCGGATTCTATGTCTTAATGTTTTTGTTCCATACTTCATGAAAGTAATGGATAGCGAGTATTCAGTATCAATTCATTGACCTCTTACCAAGTGCATGTTGCTGTAATGCAGAACCAGAACGAGTTGTGAATGAAGCAAGGTATTGAATACAAAAGTACCAGGACTAAGTACATGTGGGATTTCTAGTAGACAACTTACTGTACCTATTGAAGTGACTACTAGCTTAGCTACTCGCTAAACAGTCTGTATTCCACATACTTGCACAAGTTTACAAGTAATCCTCTCCGGAAAATTTCATCATCAGTCGGGTTTCTTTGGTTGCGATTAGGAGGACTCGATTTTTGATATTTGATATTACTATTACTATACTATATACTATTAGGTATTATATGATCTCATGATATTGAATCGTAGAAAATCAATGAGGACCTAGCTTCCCGGTTTGCGAATCTATCCTGAATTGAATGTATTGGATTGGATTGGATGAATCTGCAGGTGGTCCTTGTTGTTTTCTGGAATTTTGAAAGGGGGTTGAAGGTTGAAGGTTGGAGTTTTTTGGATGCCCAGGTGGGTAGATAGTGAGGTAGGGTAGGGTAGGGTAGGGTAGGGTATGGTAAGTAAGTGTAAAGTGATGCTTCCGGGGGGTGGCAGTGATATGGGGGACGGTTTGATAAAGTGAATATTAGAAAAAGGGTTGGGATTTAGGTATACTGATGCTGATACTAACTAGATGCCCTTCCTAACCTCCTGCTCTCCTAGCCTCCTGCTCTGCTAGCCTCCTGCTCTCCTAGCCTCCTGCTCTCCTATCTTCCTACCCTCGTACTACCCTTTTCGAACCGAACCGAATCGTTTGCTCCAATGATCGATTCATTCAGGGTTGTTTGTATCAGGAGCTTTCGGGGGGAGGGACGATCCAAAAGCATAATGAAGCTCCCCGTTCCTTCTTCATGCTCTTTCTTATTTATCCCTTGAAAGTTTAACCTTTCTTCTCCTTCTCCCCGAAGGCTATAGGTAGGTAGGTACTGTTACATACATACATACAACCCGCATCGATCCGATTCGGTTGAAGCACACTAGGGAGAGTGTCGTTTTGTCACTTACCCTTACCAACAGTAATAATATACTACCTACCCTGAGTGAGGTATGTATGTAGGTAATGAAGGATGAATTTTTTGATATTTAATGAAGTTGGCTGGTTGGTTGCGGAAAGAATCTCACCTTACTTAATATGCATATGAACAGCATGTCTAATAAATATCGAATAAATGAGATATACTCTTTCTGTAAAATGATATTATTTGAGGTAAGAATTGCCAAAAATGCTGATATAGGTACCAGGTAATTAACATCATTGATGGATGGATGGATGAATGGTTCGTGATATCTATCAAGCAAGCTTATTGTCCCCGTACATTTTTAAAATGTGGGGTATTTTCTTGTGCCACTCTTGGCCACCCTGCCTATCTATAAGAGAGAAAAAATATCTCACTCCTTCAATTTCCTGATTGTACTTTTGCATCGAGCAAAGAGAACCAAAAAAAAAAATCAAAAATAAGTCATTGGATTGCCCGTTCTAGGAATCGAACCTAGGATCTCATCATTTCCGATATTGGAATCTACTAGTGATGCGCTTTACCGCTAAGCCAAACGGGCGTTGTTGTTTGTTGATGGCAGATGACGGTTGTTTGGGAATATAATTGGTGTGATTGATATGTGTCATAAGGTTCGGTATGGGTTCCGGAGTTAGGCGAGAGCTGGCTGGCAAAACTTTCCCGGTTTATGAAGTAGTGGTGGTGAGGAAATTTTGTCGTTTTGTAATGATATGGATTGTATCTTGAGGTAGATTAGGTCTCGATATTGGATATGGGATGAGTATGTTAATGTTATTGGTGTTGTAGCTCTGAGCCACGTTCAATTATTTTCAATTGTTCGATTTGGGGACCCTTTTGATGAGATTGTGATATAGTATTTAGGCACTATCTGAATCCCATATAATTAATACCTAATAGCTAATAAGCCTGACTGTCAGCATACCTTTCTGTAATAGCAGGCACTATGAACTGCAACTTGGACAGCAGCTAGGTACTTCCTCAATTATTCAATTCTAACCTATTAAAGTCTAAGTCCAGAGCTATCACTAACATTTATATCTTACTGAGTGTTTAAAGTCAAATCAAGAGGTAGATATAACACTACCTACCCAGCGGTACCTTAGGTATATTCTAGAAATGACCGGACGGTTTTTGAAATTAATAGGCCAACATTCTATAATTCATACCTACCTATCTACATTTATCTAGTACAAATTTTGGCTATGTACAGTTTTCCAAGGTTTGTACCGACATTTGAGGACCAATTTTTGCAAAGCTGTTAGCCACCTTTCAAACTTCTTTAAATTGTGAAAATCTGCAACCAGAATGTTATAAAGATATCAAATTCTTGATATACCAATTTAAAAAATTCAACTTTCTTTTGTGTTTATTTATTATTCGAATTAAAAGAAGGGTTGACTATTATTCAAAATGTAGCAATTCTCACATGAATCTCTATGGGGAGGTGGGGTAGCTTAGCCTGTCCATATCAGCTTCCCGATAAGAAAACAGAGAGTAATTACCTAGGTAGGTATCTTTAAGATTTCCAATTTGTTTCGATTTTAGAAACTCATTTTTGACATGACCACAGATATTCTATGAGTTCTCTTCCGTGCAATTGATTTTAATCCTCTGTTTCAGAACTTCATCTGATATGAATGTTTCAATTGATTGGAATGTTCTCAAATAACTATCATGCCCATTAATATTAATAGCACTTTCAAAAACCGAACGCGAAACGCGTCTCTAATGAAAACCAATCAAGGATCCTGTCTCCACTAGTTCTATAACTTCTTGGAATCTTGGAATGCCATCTGTAGGAGGAAGGTTGAAGCTTCACAACTCTACAATCTTCTCAATGAAGTGTGGCAATGAGTATAAATTCTCCTTCACAGTGCAATGCACTGAATGTATCTGATGAGAAACGCTGCTTGGAGAATGCTACATCTGTGAATGGACTATTTTGCAGCTTCCACTCTAAACAATGTCAAGGTGGTGTTCCCCCCGTAAATTTTTGAGAGATACAACAAATCTAACAATCTTCAGGTCTTTATCGTGGTTACAAACTTCGCACAGCTAAACTTGAGCGCCTGGAGAAATCTGTCCCCCTTTACTTTGCAAATACAAAAACGTCCCTTGGAAATGAGACCTTTAAGGATGCGACAACAGAGGCAGAATGCAAGGAACTACACGATTGGCTATGGACTAAATATCAGCTACTGGAAAGGGTGATAAGGGCGAGAAGATTGCATCATAGCCGATTCTTCAGTCAGAATATGGACTATGGGCATGCGAAATTCTTAGACCAACTTATGTGTCATAAAATCAGTGTTAACAAGGCTTTAGAGAGACTTGAGAGGAGAACTGCTGAGGTTTGTCGATATCCTTTAACTACTACTGACTTTATGCTAATTTTACTCTTACCAGATCTTGTATAAAAATCAACAATGGTTCAAATGGGTACGAGAATGCCAGGATGATGAAGAAGCACATCGGGAGAAAGAACAAAAGAAGATAAAACAAGAAGCACAACTATGGCAGAGAAATTGGAAGCAAGCGAAACAAAGAATGGAGGAGAAATTGAGAAGGGAAGAGAAGAAGAAACAAGATACTTTCCTGGAGAACATCTACAAGGAGAAGATGAAGGAGGTAGAGAATGAGAGTGCAGATGATGAGATGGATTGGGATCCTATTGAAGATGAATTGGAGAATGGAAGAGGAGATTTTATTGGTATGTTGATTTTTAGTCTACAAATTCTATGCGCACAGCTGAAGTCCAAACCTCACAATCCATACAAACTGACCATCGATAAAAGACCTCATGCGACATTTCTTATGGATGTCCCCAAAAGAAGAATCTAAAATGGAAGAGCTTCCATCAAGTGAAGTTCATAAGACCGGTTTGACCAAGAATGATGTAGCATCTCAAGAACCAACTCATAGCACAAATACTATCGAGCAAATTGTATCCCAACTTGAGTCCTCTACTCTATCCAAAAAATCGAAGAAGAAAAAGAAGAAGAATGCAGCAGCTACATCCACTATTTCCTCTCAGGCCACCAAAGCAAGCAAACCGCTACCTAAACCACAAGAGATTCCAGATAAATCTCTCATCGAAAGTCGAGAGGACATGCATGATAGGTTGGCTCATGGAATAGAAATTGACCTTGATGGTGTTCACGGGGTAATGGTTGCTGGAACAATAGAGAATCCTCATGTTCAGAAAACAACCCGAACTTTCACAGAATTCGAAATACAACGACTACTCAGTGAGGTGTCTGAGATTAAGCATTTGTTGTTCTGTAGATTATTACTTGGACATGCCGCATTACTCCCAGCAGCTCTTCGTGCTGAGAGTGTCGAGGCATTCCTTGGAGACGAAGAAGTGACCGGCACCGCTCTGAGGGATGTTTGTCTTAAAATGGAGAAGCCTAGTCTTCAAGAAATCCGAGATGCATGCGCAGATTTCTTTCGATCCGAGGAAGAGGAAACGGAAGAGCAAGATTATCCAGAGACTCAAAATGATGACATTGATGATCACGAAAGCCATGAAACCAAATCTGCTGACCCTTATGACGTGAAGATGAGATTGAGCCGGAAGAAGCGTGGTGAATTACCTGGAACATGGCGTTCAAAACGAGAGATTTCCCGGGAGGAGACAGCTGAGAATATGCTTGGAATGGCTCCCGGAATGGCTCCATCTATGGAAAACATCCTTGGGGGTACAGAAGGAGGTGCGATTGACTTTGGTGATTCTACTGTTTCTCGACCAGTACGCAAGAAGATCCGCGTGAAGATTTGTGGTAGAACGATATGGAATTATCCCAGTGATAAAGCAATGAATCGTGGAGGATGGTTACACTTCTCCATAATTGCGAAGGATAGTAATCTCAATACTGCAATCGAACTTTGTCGGAACTGGGAAGAGTTCTTTGAGCTGAACATTTTGGCCTGCTGGGGGTACTTTCCTGCGTCAAATTGGGCTTCATGGGTTGGAAATAGATTGAAACAGCAAGCCTTACAGCTGGTAAGTTTCATTGGCTCTGCTTCTAATTGGCTGGTCAATAACGTGATAAATAGGGGTTCATCATGTACTACGAAAGTTCAGATCCAGATGCTAAAGACCTCAGTGTAAATTTCTCGCAAGGGGGTCGTAGCAAACAAACCCGACGTCAACATGCTATATTTCAAGCAAGAAACGTAATTTGTGCCCATATCAAACGAGACCACCAGGCAAGCCGTCGATTTATTCAATACCTGTCTATGCAAAGTCATCGCTTAGTTTTGCTTGTCAGGGATGCTGAGAGCGGTAAATTGTTGGTAAAACCTCCGGAAGAAGAACGATGGCTATGGCGAGAGAAGAGCGGCCTGGGGCGAGCTGCCAAAAATGTGTGGAACGTTTTGAAAAGAATCGGACCTGAATTTTTCGAGGAAATGGATCGTCATCGCCAGTGGAACTTTTCATTTAAAGATTATTATGATATTTATGTTTGGGATCTCGAGCCTGGAGACACTTTAGCTGGACTGTTTAATACTGTCCAACAAGTAAGTTGCCCTATTTAGGAAATTTATCAAGCCTCACTAACAAACCTCAGATGCTTATCAAAGCCCTCCGGTGTGTCAATGGTAAAGACTTGTACAAGCCAGCGGCCTCTATCTTAAAGACGCTCTATCGAGATGAAGACAGCCATTATAGAGATGTCAGACCGGGAGACCCCGTAAAATTCATAAACCAATGGGACCATCTTCAAGATGGGAGATCAAAATTCTTTTATGGTGATATCGATTCACCAAGCCAGCGACCGACTGAACCAACAGACTCATGGCCGAGTGATCTCTTTTATAATGAGGCGGATGCTCTGGAAGATGAGGTATTATTTCCAGAGGAGCGAGCCGAAGAAGCATCGAATACCCCGTTAGCCGTTGGTACAAAAGATTCATTGAGAGTTTTTGAGGAAGAAGACTTTTCCATAAAAAGATTTGTAGAAGGAACGTGGAATTGGGAGTCCGAAGACTCCGAAACCTCGGACGATACTGGCGATTCCGAAGATGAATCTCAGTGCTCGCGTGGAAGTGCGATCGAGGACGATGGCGATGATGAGTATGAAGATATGAATGTCAGAGACGAAGACTACAGGGAGGAACGCTTCAAAGATTTTCCCAGAGAGCTTTGGCCCGTTGTACACAGACTTGCGGTCGAGAAGACTCACAAAGATGACTTTCCGAATGATGATTTAGAAGCAGAATTTATGAGGTTTATCGAGAAGACAACATCTAGAAGTATGGCTCGACTCCTCCGTTCATATTCCCAAGCAAAACTAACTCAATTGTATGTAGCCTTCAAAAAAGCTTGGCATCAAGCGGATGTTACCCCCCATGGACAGGAGCAGTATCTAGAAATGAAGAAAATGGCTCATAAATCCTGGAGGTACAATCATACTCGTAGAGACTTCTTCAGGGCCTCTTCGACAGTGCTCAATTTCCAGGTGATGAATTGGCTAAATGTCACAGCTGATGACGTGAAAGATGCGCAGAAAGCGATGGGTAAGGTGTACCCGTTTT